GTATTTTATCTATCTTATGACTGTATGAAAGAAAAATAAGTAAATAATAATAGTAGTAGAAGTAGTATTACAATTATTACTGTTTTTTTTTCTTCTCTTTCACACTTTTAACATCAGCTCACCAGTGCGGGATTTCCTGTTTAGTTCAGTTGCTAAATTCTTTATGAATAATGTTTCTTTTAACCGTAGCCACTGCTCATTTTCAGCCTTTCCAATAATTTGGAATTGTTTAATTTTTACACTTGCATTCACACATTCTTCTTTATGTTGGAAAATGTTTGAGAATCTTGCATACCTTGGCACACTATGTTCTTTAACTCAATCACTAAGCCTCCTCACTGTTGACTCTATATATTCACTATTACAAACAGAGCACTGATATCTGTAGACAACATGTGATCGGTCCGCTTTGCACATTCTGTCTTTGAATACAAAATAGTTCCTTATTCTGTATACTGGTTTAAGTACCACATGTAGTTCAACTGGTGGGTACACATTACAAAGGAAGTTCTTTATATTTTTCTTGATTTTCAAAGCATATGTTCTAGTAAATGATAGTGTCATATACACAATCTTTTTTGAAACATTATCTTTCTCTTTTTTAGGGGTGGCCACTCTGTTGATATAATCATTGATAACTCATGTTAAAAGTGTGGGAAGAGAGAAAAAATTGTTTGTATGTTTGAAATTACCTTGTGTTATTTATTTAAATATTATTGTTGTTGTTTTTAATTATATACTGATAATCTGATACAGACCTTGTCATCTTCCAAAATCCATGCATATACATCTATCTGTTTTTTTTTCTCTTATTGTGATTTGGCTTTCATCAAAGAGCAAGACATTTCCATTTTGGTCACTGATTTTCTTGGTGAGAATAGATTTCAGATGTGGTCCTATTCCTAAATTACACAAGTAACCACATTTCCTCTCACTCCATGAAAACTGTTTTGCAATTGTTGAGTCTCAGAATATTTCAGTGAAAAGTGGACTGACATCCGAACATGAGTTGAAGGAGTAGTGTGATTTAACAACTTTCAATGTCCACATTTCAGGTTTTAAACAATCCAACCTTGATACAAATGGTGTCACTGATTGCTGTGAGGTACATGTACTTGTTGCTGTGTCAGTTGGGAGTGAATGAGTGAAGTTAATTTGAATAGCACTTTTGTTAAAAAAGATTCTATTCCTCCCTATGAACATAGTCTGCTGGTTGTCAAACTCAAACGCATGTGCTTCGTGCTGGCAGTGTGGCTTTTTTTAAAGCCATGTTCAAGATATCAAATGCCTTCATGCACAAAGTGCAATTTTGTATTCATCCACATCTCAGTTTAACCACTTATAGTATTCAGGCTTCTTGAGCCACCCCTAGTTAAATATGCATTTGCCCCTCTGCATTAATAGCCAATGTGAGGCAATATGTAGGTCTACTGTTCTGCTTGAAAGCACATCGAGTTATGTTGCATGTTGAACATGCTATATGTGTATACAGATTGATGGAGAGACTCGTTTGGACAATGGAAAATGAGATTTGTGGCATGCATTGCATTCCCTGTGACGAATGATCATACCAGTAACACATCACTATCTAAAACTCAGATGACTCTCATAAATTGCACTTGACCTGAAATTGTGTGTATGGTTCAAAAAAACAAATGAACCTTTCACATTGGGATTAGATATCAATTAACAATTGACTGTAAAGTGTCTAATGTAAGAGGGCTTTCATTTTTCCAGGGGTAAATAAAAAAATCAGGACTTTTCAAACCCTGTCAATCATATAATGTTATATACCATATATTACAACATATAAGACACACTTTTGTTTTTCCTCTAAAAATCATCCTGTGTCTAATATGTGAGGTTAAAGAAAGTGCATCTCTCAGTTTTGCCCCCAGAAGCTAAATTCTATCTGGTAATTTCCCCAGACAACTCTAGATTAAAATATATAAATTAATCAATACAAGAATATATGATTAGGCTTGTAATTAATTTTAAAAAATGGCTAAATATATGATTGGACTTATAATAAATAATAATAATAATCCACGACAATTAGTATATAGCTGAGCAGTTCACCTGGTTCTTTAGTGCTGAGCAGCAAGTGTTTCTGAATTCTCAAGAACACTACTGTCTACTGCAGTATTTATTTGCAATGTGCAAAAGTTCTCAAACTGCTCACATGCAAAAGACTCCCTGGCCTTTTTCCTTACTGCCATATAAGGCCAGTACAGTTTACTCACTGGGGACACTGATATCCACAATGAATACCATCGGGAATATGCTTATAATTTGAAAAATAATCTATCTTACGTCTCCTTATCCTGAAGAGACTAACAATGAATTATGTTCTTTCTATTGGTTATAAG